CCTGGAGGCAGGAACTGAAGCAGAGGCCATGGAGGGGTGCTGCTTACCGACCTGCTCCTCATGGTTTGCTCAGCCTGGTTTCTTATAGCACACTAGCCCAGGGTTGGTACTGCCCATAGTGAGCTGGGCTCTCTCACATCAATCATCAATCAAGAAAATGAACTATAGGCTTTTCCACAAGCCAACCTGGTGGGGCCGTTTTCTCATTTCCATTTTTCCAAAATGATTCTAGCTAGTGTCAAGTTGACATAAAACTAGCCAACACAAGCCTCAACATTGTCTTTACAATAGTCATTTTAACTGGGGGGAAAATGTTATCTCATTATTGGGGTCTTGATTTGACTCTCTCTGATGATGACTGATATTGAACATTTATCAGTTGACTATGTGTATGCTTTTTTTGAGAAATGTCTATTTTGGTACATTGTCCATTTTAAAATAATATTATTTATTTACTTATTGTTCATTAAATTGTTTGAGTTCCTATGTGTTTTACATTATCAGCCCTCATCAGATGTACAGTCTCCAGATGTTCTCTCCCATTCTGTAGGTTATCTCTTCATTCTGCTGATTGTTCCTTCTTCTTTGCAAAAGCCTTTCAGTTTGAAATAATCTCATTCCTGTGTTTTTGCATCTGTCTCCTGTAGTTTTGGTGTCTTATCAAAAAGCTCACCACTGAAACAACACCACAAAGTATTCTACACCAGGGTTTTCTAATACGGGTCTCAAGTTTCAAGTTGAATTATTTTGAGTTGGTTTTTGTATATGGTGGGAGATGGGGTTCTAGTTTCATCCTGCAGTTTCCTCCCAGCATTTACAGAAGAAAGTTCTCCTTCTCTCATGTGTTCTTTGCATCTTTGCTGAAGATTGGTATGCTGTAGGTGTGTGGGTTATATTCCACTGTCTCTAGTTGTTCCTCTGTCTACTGTTTTGATGATTATTGTCTTTGTTAGGGTTATTATTGCTGTGATGAAACACCATGACCAAAGTAACTTGGGAAGGAAAGAATTTATTTCACTCACAGTTCCATATAACAGTTCAGTATCAAAAGCAGTGAGGGCAGGCACTCAATCAGGGCAGGAACCTGGAGGCAGGAGCTGGTGCAGAGGCCATGGAGGGTGCTGCTTACTGGCTTGCTTCACATAGCTTGCTCAGCCTGCTTTTCTATTGAACTCAGGACCATTAGCCAGGGGGATGGCACCACCCATAATGGGCTGGGCCCTCCCTTATCAATCACTCATCAAGAAAATGCCTTACAAGCTTGCCTACAGCTTGATCTTATGATGGTATTTTCTTAATTGAGGCTTCCTCTTAACTGATGACTCTACCTTGTGTCAAGTTGACATAAACTAGTTAGTACAACTGTAACTTTGTAGTATATTTTGAAGTGGTCAGATACGATGATGTTTACAGCTGTTTTCTTTTCACTGATGATGACTTTGCTGTCTGGCTTTTTCTTTTCTTTCTTTTTTTTTTTGGTAGTTCCATATGAATTTTAGGATGTTCTTCTACGGGAATGTGACTGATATTTTCACATGGACTGCATTGAATCTGAAGAGTGCTGTGGGCAGTATGGACATTTAATAATAATTCTCTTTCCCATCTATAAACAAGGGATATCTTTCAGCCTTTATGTGTCTTCTTCCATTTCTTTCATAAACATTTTATTATTTTCAATGTAGAGATTTTTCATCTTTTCAACTTTTTTGGAATTTTATTTTTGATAACTTATAAATGTCTTTGGTGTGTAGAAAAGATACTGATTTTATTACATTGATTTTGTATCCTGCTGCTTTGCTGAATTTGTTATCAATATTAATTATTCTCAACTTATTATTCTAGTAGGGGTGTGTGTGTGTGTGTCCAAACAGTGACAGTTTGATTCTTCCTTTCCAACTCCAATGTGTTGTATTTCTTTGTCTTGCTGATTGCCCTGGTTGAGACTTCTATCTCTATGTTGAACAGCAGTGGTAAAAGTGCACATCTTTACCTCGTCCCAGACTTTAGTAGGAATGTGTTCACCTTTTTGACACTCCACATGATGCTGTCCATAAGCTTTTAGGCTGCTTCCCTCTTTCTCCTGAGGTGAAGCTATTGGTACCACATATTCATGAGTGAATGTTTCTTCATATTTTCTTTGGGAAAATACCAATACCACAGTCTGTCTCTAACACCAAACATTTTATTTCATTAATTAATAAATTAATTTATTTTTATGGTATTGGAGGTTGAGCCTAGGGCCTCACATGTGCTAGGTAAGTAAGTGTTCTATCTCTAGCCCTTTTTAGTCATTCTTTTGAGGATTCATTATTACCCAGGCTGGCCTTGCATTCACCGTGTTGCCCAGCAGGCCTTGTGATCCTCCTGCCTCAATCTCTGAACTAGTTGGGATTCCCTTCATAACAGCAGTGACAGTGTTCTTGTATCTCTGCTACATTGTTTCCTGTGACATTCTCACAGTGCTGCTAATGTTAGACCTGGTATTAATGTCACCACAGTGGTGACTGCAGTGTTCCTACAGTTCCCGGGCACCAGCGAGCTTGGCATTCATAGTCGCCCTGGGTAGTGGACTGTGTTCATGTAACTGTTGGACATTGGGCATGCTTTTCACATAACTCTGCAATGCAGTTTGGCATCTGTGGTGACTTTGATAATGGTGGTCATCACATAAGTGTGCGACATTTGCCCTGTTAGTCACAGGAACAACATTGGATTCTGTAGTTACATAATTCTGTAGTACTTTGAAAAAATGTACATCTAAATGAAATGATGATGCTAGTAGGTTTCAGGAAAGTCAAATGTAGTGCCAGTCTAGGCGCTTGGGATGAGAGTTATGATTGTGTGTGGAAGTGGATGTGCAGATGTTTGGGTACATGTGTCTGCAGGTGCATGTAAACATACATATGTGTGCATAGAAAAGTCATTGATTTGGGGTGTCTTCCTCAGTCACTGTCCACCCCAGTTTTTGAGAGAGGGTCTCTTATAGAACCTGGAGCTCACAAAATCAACTGTGCTGGCTGGTCAGCAAGCCCCAGGGATCCTTGTATCTCTGCATTCCCAGAACTGAGATTAAATGTATGTTCTGCCATGTTTGGCTTACCATACATGGATCTGGGGGACCAAACTCAGGTCCTTGTACTTAGAAGGCTATCACTTTAATGCCTGAGCCATCTCCCCAGCCCAGAGAGTTATGGTTTTGGTCAAGACCAAATGATATATCAGCAGTGGTGGTCTAACAGAATAGAATTCTGGCATTGGCCTTAGAACTCACATGATTCAGATGGTACTGGTTCTGTAACCTTGACCTTGGTGCTGGTGCCGTGGAGGGAGGAACAGCCACATTTGTAGGTGGAGAGACTTTCAGTTTTGAGAAGTGGGTCAAGTGTTACATAAAGTTACATAACAACAGATGACAAAGTCAGGCCCAAGTCTGGGTTTTCTGCAGAATGCAAACAAACTCCTTCCTGTAACACACTGAGGCATATTCAGTCGAATTTGAAGGTGTCTGTGTCTTCTAGCTCTCCTAGGGCTTAGAGCAGGCACTGTGCCCCTTGTCGTGACTGTAGTCACAAAGTCTGTCCACCTGCGCATGCTTATGAGGGAGACTGACCTAAGTTACACACTGCAGTGTGTGCGTTTGAACCTCTGGAAACTTGTGGTAAACAGTAAAGAAGGCTTTCTGCCAGACTGAAGTGCTCTATAGTGTACTCACAACCCTATAAACATATTTATTAGATAATACAGGTGTCCTGGTTAGTTTTATGTCAACTTTATTCAAGCTAGAGATATTTGGAAAGAGGGACTCTCAATTGAGAAAAATGCCTCCCTTGTAGGAAAGTCTGTAGGGCATTTTCTTAATTAGTGATTGATGAGTGAGGGCCCAGCCTGTTGTGGGCAGTACCACCCCTGGGCAGGTGGTGCTGGGGTATATAAGAAAGCAGGCCGAGCAAGCCATGAGAGCAAGCTAGTAAACAGCACTCCTCCATGGCCTCTGCATGAACTGTTGACTCCTGGCTCTTGCCCTGTGTGAGTTCCTGCCCTGACTCCCTCAGTGATGGACTGTGCTGGAGAACTGTCAGCTGAAGTAAACCCTTTCCTCCCCAAGCTACTTTTGGCCTAATGTGTTTTATCACAGTAATAGAAATCTAACTAAGACAGAGGGTTAGCATTAGTGAAAGTGTTTGTTGTATAGTGGCCAAATTCTTTCTTTAAAATTTTAAGAACTAGCCAGGCAGTGGTGGCACATGCCTTTGATGCTAGCACTCAGAAGGCAGAGGCAGGCAGATCTCTGAGTTCAAGGCTAAACTGGTCTACAGAGTTCCAGAACAGCCAGAGCTACACAGAGAAACCCTGTCTCAAAAACCCCTCCAAAATTATTTAAGAACCTTTAGAAGTCTTGTACAGACCCAGAAATATGATGTTTGTATTGAGGGGGAGATCCTATTGAAAATATGTTTTAATAACATTAACATAAACATTTAAGATTTCCAAATCTTACAGTGTGTAAGGTATACTTCAATAAAAGCTTTGAAAAATATACATCTAAAGAAAATGGCAATGCTAACAGGTTTTATGAAAGTCAGGGATCTGTCAATTTGGGATGTTTGCTAATAGATAGAAGTTTAGGTTTAGGGTTTTAATAAAAACACAGTCATACCTAGAATTTAAATCATCTTATATTAAAATTATTTATTCTCTCTCTGTGTGAGACAGACAGACAGACAGATATCAAGAGCATAGCTGTGTGCATGTAGGGGTCAGAGGACAGCTTGTAGGAGTTATATCTCTACCCTGTGGGTCCCAGGGATTAAACTCAGGGCACAAGACTTGGAGGCAGACACCTTAAACCATTAAGCCACCTCATCAGCCCCATCCCCTTGAATTTAAAGGTACAATGCGATGTAAGAATGTATATTGCTTCCCCAACCCCTCTGACATCGTTAGGACTTTTCTCTTGCTCTCAGTTCCTAGGGCTCATGAACTATTTTTTCCCCTTACAGTACTTGGGATGCATTGAAGTTCTGCGCTCAATGAGGTCTCTTGACTTCAGTACAAGAACTCAGATTACCAGGTAAGCTCTCCTGAAAGTAGACTCCTGTGATTTTATCTTTGAAAGGAAAGCTCTCAAAAGTTTACATCCTAGGACTTTCTAGAAGAAAGCCTGACCCTTCTGACACTGGAGGCTGGTAATGGACTCAGTTCTCACAGTGTGTTAAAATAGGTGTTAAAATATAGTTGTACCTGTCTATGTGTGGAGAGATACCTCTCATCAAGAGCACCATGATGGACACGTGACCCTTCTGGGGTCTTTTTATAATGAAGCTGCAAACATAATCATAATTAAGGGGTAACTTTGGTGTTCATGTTTGTTTCCTTAATCTAGGAACCACTAATGCAAGATCAATACTAAAATTACCAAACTATATTATTTCTGAAAAACAAAGACCAAGACATCTAGAGTGTTTCCAACAGTGCACAGAGAGAACAAATTCACGGGGTTAGATGTAGAAATATTCATGGGGTAAAATCACTTAGGAAGGAGATTCATTTTTGAAAATATTTTATTTCAATTAATATTTTAGGTCATATAGAAAATATTGGATTTCATTATGACATCTTATTTGATTTTTACTAATATTTTAGTATAAAAATACTGGACTTCATTATACTGTCACCTGTGCATGCTAATTTGCTGTGTTCCTATCCACCTCCGGCCCCTCTCCTTTCTCCCTCTTTCCCTTCTCACTTGTCCTCTTCTCGCCACAAATACTCTTTCTACTTTCATGTTGCATGTATTTAAATCTCTATTCTGCAAATGAGAGGAAACATGTAACTTTTATTTTCTCCCCAATTGCCCTTTCTTGTTCCACTTGCCCCCTCCCCTGACATAGTGCCCCCTTCCACTTCTCGCTCTCTCTCTCTCTCTCTCTCTCTCTCTCTCTCTCTCTCACACACACACACACACACACACACACACACACACACACACACACGCACGCACCATACTTGTGTTAGTCTGGCTTATTTCGCTTTACACAGTGGTCTCCAGTTCCATATATTTCTCCTACAAATAACATAATTTAAACTATTTTCTATGTGTTTGCTACATATGGTGATTTCCAGTCATGTCGCAGAGGAGGACAACAGAGGCTGAGTGACACAGCAGTGCTTCTGTGGCCAAGGGGTCTCTGTGGCATTGACAGTTATGGAATTGCTCGAATATCCTCCTCAGAAAATGGCACCTGATTACTTCACCCAGATCACTGTGTTGTGCTTCTCTGAGTCAGGAAACCAAGTCTGAAGGTTTAAGTCACCACATGTAGTCATTAATTGTTATGTCCACACCTCTCTCCTGAGTACTGTCGTAAAGCCTCTTCCTCCTCACCAAAGAAGTTCATGGTCAAGAGATGACATTTCTCTTCTCCCTAAAGTAACTCAAGACAGGTGGTGGGAACATGCCAGCATCGGTGTTCTGAACCAAAGAGGGAAGGAATTATGTTTGAAAAGAGAAGTCTGTTCCCTTGGTCACTCATGCATTCACTGTGCTCACGACTGCAAGGACCATAGAAGGGTGGCGTGGCTTTCGTCAGGGGAGGGCGAAAGAGGCAGAGTGAACTTCACTGACAGGCTACAGTTCTTATCAGGGCTTCTGAGGGACTTGGTCATGGGGCTGGGGACTTTTCAGAAATGTCAGAATATGGGTTAGGGCATATGGTGTTAGTGGTTAAACCAGGAGGGGCAGGAACAGTATTTGTGGTGACTTTGGGGAAACAGTCACAGGAAAGAGAAACCCATTCAAGCTGGAGTGGGGCTGCCTTTAAGATAAAAGACAAGGCTGTCTTAGTGTTCTACTGCTGTGAAGAGACACCATGATTATGGCAACTTTTATAAAGGACAACATTCAATTCGGGCTGCCTTACAGTTCAGAGGTTCAATCCATTGTTGTCATGGAGGGAAGCATGGTAGCATGCAGGCAGATGTGCTGGAGAATGAGCTGAGAGTCCTACATCTTGATCCACAGGTAGCAGAAAGAGAGAGAGACTGGGCCTAGCTTGAGGATATGAATCCGCAAAGCCCACCCCTCCAACAAGTCCACACCTCCTCCAACAAGGTCACATCTCCTAATCCCTCTCAAGTAGTGCCACTCACTAATGACCAAGCATTGAAGTATATGAGCCTATGTGGGCCATTCCTATGCAAACCACAATGGGTATGTTCACTTTCTCTCACTGACAAGGCATACACTGTCCCATCAAGTGCAGAGTGATTCCCACTGCCTAGGGATGTAGGAACTGTGTGTGAAGTTCACATTCACCTGTGTGGTGGTTGTTTTTAAAGGGGATAAACTCTACAATTGTTTCCACCGGGTTTCCTCTTGGGATTTCTGAGGCACCTTTGTGCCATTGATGTATTTATTAAGTTATGCCATTTGTGCTGCTGGGTGATGTGGGCTGTCTACTCTGCCAGGCTGCCCAGGGTTGAGCCAGATGTCACACAAATGACTGAGGATCATTTAAGGGACACAGACTGAGCCCTGCTCCTCTGGGGTGGTAGTAAGGGGAGCAGGTGGGGTAGGGGCACAAGCAAATAATTATGGTTTTCCCTTGGGTGAGGATTTTCTTCTTGGGGACCTGTGGGTAGAATCCAAGAGGACAGAAGCACTCACCCTGTAAAAGAAAGCAGATGGAGCTGACCCTGGTGGATATGGAGGTAGGATGCCTTTCTCCAGTCCCATCCCACTGTGTAAAAATGCTTCAGTACAACAGGGCAAGTGGAATATCAGACAAGGACTCAGACAAGGTGGTGTCACATCCAAGGTTGCAGCAGTATTGCCTTGGGTTTCATTAGACTCTTGAAAGTTATGTTGTTGACCTCTGTGATGCTCCCTATCCCTGGGATATCATCGCTGTTATGGGGCATGTTTCTTAGTGACGTTAGTTCCTGGAGCACACTCACACAAAACTAAAAAGAAGCTGTTTGCATCCAGAGGAATAGTCTGCCCTGCCTTGTGGATTCAGCACAGTGTGGAGCTGTTAAGGCCTTACTAGTAACTAGGTGTTAACTGTGCCTGCCTCCCTGGTTAAATACTTCCTCCAGAATTTATATAGCAAGGATATTCTTGGGAGGTTTCAGGGAAACTTAGCTTGGTCAGAATATATAGACACTAGGTGAACTTGTTTCTAAAAGTATTTCAGTCATGATATTTATTTAATTAAATCCATTTTTGTAAGCAAATAACCTCTATGCATCTGCTTTACTGCATTTTAAAATATAACTTAAGATTCTTGCCCGTATATTATTTGGAGGTACTGACAGTGGTACCACATGCCTTTTTCAAGATAGATTTAGTTTTGTTCTGTTCCTTGGCAACTGAGTTTGTTTATTGTTTTCTTTTCAACAAAAGTAGGCATTGATTTCCACTAAAACATGACTTTTAACTGTTTTCCAACTAAAACATAACTTTAAAAAATAAGTTTAATTGCTTCTAGACTTAGCGGCTCAGTGGCTGTCAAAAATCCTGTACTCCCGATACCCTGGTTTAGGGGAACTGGAGTGATATATTCACTCCAATCCTGCCCACTGTGCTGAGATGGCCTGGTTATAGGGCCCTTCTCTGCAAGGCCAATTTTGATCTGAAATATTGAGCTTGGTTTGTATTTGAATACCTAGTAAGAAGGGGACCAGGATGATACAGGAAAAGGCCTGGTCATAGGAGCTCCTGTTGGAGTTTATTTAGTCCTGTTGCTAAGATGTTATTCATCACAGTGGGCACAGGACTGTAAGCGAGTGAGCGTCCACGGTATGAGGGGCAGCAATATTGAGTCCCCCACACCCTTGTGTTGATAGGATGTACAGCGGAGCTAAAGACTTCAGTGCTTGTGGAGGCTTGTGGGAGATTCTGCAGAGAAAACTGCTTCCCACAGGGTTCCTTCTCAGCAGGCTCAGAGAGCACAAGTCCTCTGCCCTCCCCTAAATGTAACCTTGTCCAGCAGTTTTAGAATAGAGCATTTGTGCCCCCACTTCCCACGTTTGTGGATGGGAAGTGCACTTTGCAGTTTCAAAGAAGCCCCACTGCAGGGGACAGTGAAATTTGTTCTTAATTTTCCAAGCTAGCTCAGCAAGCTGATGACCTCACTTCCCTCCACTCCCAACTATGATATGATCTCTGCCTGCTCTGTGTCCCTTGAAGAGCTCAAGGACCAAGGATGGGAACCAGGACTGATGTCACCTGGTTCCCAACAGGAGGTCCATTGGAGGTCTCCACATTTATCTATGCAAGGCTGTCAGGTTTCCACACTGGCCACTGTGACCACAGAGGTGGGATACTGGCCCTGGCCTCAAAGCTGAGATCTCCTTATCTGTACTGCTGGAACTGCACGACAGTATTTCCTGGGTCAGGGGGCCCTGACCTCATCTGGTGGGGACTCCTTCTGGAGAAGGTACTATGGAGTCTGGGCTTGTGCTCATGACATGGCTGTGAGTCTGCTCAGAGTAGCTCTGCTGGCTGAGAACTGCAAAGGGACAAGAAATGTCCTTGGCCACTTGTGTTAAATTCTGTCTGTCACTGGAAGTTCTCCTAAGGCCAATGTTTGGACAGAGGCAAGCTATGACTATCTGCACTGTACAACTAAATCCAGAGTCCTCAGAGAGGTGGCACTTCCCCAGCCATGTTACAAAGGCCCTAACGATGTTTAATCTTGACTGTCACCTTCAACTGTTGTTCAGAGGTCATACCCTAGATGCACAAGATGCCAAGAGTGTCTGTGCAGGCCCCAAGCCAGACATACAGGACAGTAGATTGGGGAGTGGTCATCCGCCCGAAGCAAGGACCTCCCTTCTCTCCTCGTTTTCATTTTCAAATCCATGGGATTTAGAATTGCCATGGAAACACATCTCTGGAGGAGACACTGAGAATGTTTCCAGATAGGTTTAACTGAGCAGGGGAGACCTACCCTGAATATGGGCAGCGTGGCTTGGGGGTTCTAGACTGAACAGAAAAGAAATTGAGTTGAGCACCAGCATTCATCTCTCTCTGCTTCTCAACTGTGGGTGCAGTGTGACCCGCTGTCG